TTACAGTTTTTCTCAATTGCTTTGGCTCAATTCTCGAATGAAACTTTTTTTCCCCGAAACAATAAGTTCAGATCTCTGAACAATTAGCTTCTTGTTCACATCAGATTGGAATTTCTTATTGATTTGAGCAAATTGCAAATGCTTTGGCACATGTGTGCAAACAGTAAGTACAATTGTCTGCAGTTTGCACAACAACTAATTGCATATGGCTTGTTGATTCTCACTTAAACTTTCAAACTCTTCACAACTTCTCAAACATTTTTCATTGTGTAAGCCATCACATTCAAAACGATCCATTCAATTATGAAAAATTGGTATACACGCATGTATATTCCATAAATATCTGACATTGACATTGTTTGTAATGTCTGCTAAATTGGCAAATGACCTCTAATTGCAATACAATTTGAATCAACCATTCAACAATTTAACCAATCAAGTTTGGGAGCATATATATGTAGATTGCCCACAGCACAATCACTAAGAATGGAGGACTTACAAAACCCTGAACTGCAGCAACATGCTCGTGGAAGAGCAATTGGAAGACGTGTAAGAATACGTGGTGGTGGTGTTAGAGGAAGACATTATAGAGGAAGAGGTGGAAATAGAAGAGTCAGAGTCTCTGATGAAATCAGAGCCACACTTGTGGATCATGTCATAAATCGTGTGTCATCAAAAAAACAGTGTCATCAATTGTGCAAACCTTTCGTAGGGAAAACAGGTAAATATGTATTTATTTTTTTTGTTTTACAGTATGTAAAGCATTTTTATAAACAACAATATTGTAATGGTAAATGCAAGTCTAAACAACCTCGCGCTGGTGGCAGAGTAGCAGTATTTAACCATCAGCAAGAACAAGAAATTTGCAACAATTCCATCAGGCTAAGAGAGATCCAAAATGCAATCATAAATGACAATGTCTTCGCAAATATAAATTCTGTCAGCATTTCCACCATAGACAGAGTTTTGAAAATACATCAAATGACTATGAAACAACTCTACAAGGTGCCATTTGAGAGGAATAGTGAAAGAGTGAAGGAGCTCCGGTACCAGTATGTCCAGGTCAACTATTGGTGTGCACTTTAAAAAAAAAAAGTGAGTTTTACTGTACTTCTAAGATGCCTGTATTACTTGAAGTTTTAGAAACCCATAAGAAGAGAAAACATTTACTGAACTCTAGAATAAAAATTAACTTTACTTTGTTTCTGTGTTTCTTCGTAGAGAATCATGGAGTTAGAAGGACATGAAACAACCCACATTCTTGTTTTTGTGGACGAGGCCAGGTTCAATCTGTCCAAAGGCCGGAGACGTGGTCGCAATCTCATGGGCCCCCGAGCCACAACTGACACACCAGGCCAACGTGGGGCCAAAATTACAATGTGTGCAGCCATTTCAGAGAATGGTGTGAGCACACATATTCCACACATTGGGCCCTATAATACCCAACTTCTCCTGGCCTTCCTAAACACACTTTACAGAGACCTGATTCCAGAACAAGAAAGAGGTTTAGTTAGACCACATTTGCCTAATTATGTTGTTGTCTGGGATAATGTCAGCTTCCACCGAACCAACATGGTTAGGGACTGGTCTTCTGCACATGAAAGGATAACAGTGGAGTTCCTTCCACCATACTCTCCATTCCTAAATCCAATAGAAGAGTTTTTTTTCAGCATGGAGGTGGAAAGTATATGATCATAGACCACAAGATCAGATGTCTGTTGGATGCCATGAATGCTGCATGTGAGGACATCACAGCTGATCATTTCAGGGGATGGGTGCGGCAATGGAAAACATCAGATGTGATGTTGAGGAAAATCTTTGGCCTGAGCGACAGGATGTCCACCAAGAAAATTTTTTGAAGTATTCAAAAGAAGTATTTTTGTGTATTTGTGGTAACAAGAAATATGAAATGTACAGTAATTGGACAAGCAAGATTTCACTTATATGTAATGTATTCGTACAAAAATAAATGTACTACATAAATACAAATCTTCATACTTTTTTTTTTCCATGTACTATTGACTCTTCTCAACAAATTTCAGATTTTTTATAAAACCTTCATTTCCATGGTTGACTGTTATGGTGAAAAAACAACTAAACATTTTGACCAGTGTCACCTTTGGCTTCACAACTGTCTTTCAGTACAAGCACGACAAAAGCACAATTAAGCCAGAGAGAAGTAAAACAGCAGCTGTGTCTCTGCCCTTGTGTGCCCTTGTTCTTTGAAATTTCATCAAGAACTCAGAGCTCTTTATTTTAAGACTGCACACATTCAAAACTTTCTAAGCAAACCAGACTCTAATCAAACGAAGAGACTTTCAAGTGAAAAGAGAGAAATATGTGACTTATTGCATTCCATGGGGCACCATCATGTTTTAACCGACTGTGAAGATGATTCATAAGAACAAGGATTGTATCAAAAGTCTTTCATTTTTGTTTCAGTACACCCACCTATCCACGCTCACAGTCACATACGCAGACATAGCTGCTCGTCAAGTGCTGGAATTTTTATATAGAAGAATTTACGTGGACATGGATGGCAATTTCACTTCGACTTTCCATATTGTGCTCTCTCTGATCTTCCTAAGGAGCTTGCTTTTGAAGTCACAAGTTGCAGCAATGGTTATAGGTTTAAGGAGCAGGATGTCACATCTCTTTGGAGGATTTTGATGTGCTCTGCCTATCTGCTTGGCATATTTGCATTCCATTTTTTACTGGTAATGGAAGATGTGTCATGCCCTGATGATGTGTGCTGATCATGTGACCCTACAAGCATGTATTTCTTTGCATTATGAGTGTGTCAAGGGGTCCAGATTTGGCTGGTTAGCATGTCTCAGTTAACTGTTGGATGTCACAACTACACCACCTGCCTGCATCAAGCATCTACTTTAACAAGCATTCAAAAACAGTTACATCTTTGGCCATTTTTATGGTGGAAACCATAAAATCATTTTATTCACACAACCAATTGCTCTATGTTATTTTCTTTGGACTATCACACAGTCACACAAAGTTTGTAGAGCAAATATTTCATGTTAGAAATCTTATTCTAAACATCTATAATCTGGGCTGCACAAATGATATTAAAAATGTGTATGACATGAGCCAGAAATTCTAGAAACTAATACAACCACAGATGGGCAGAGAACATACAGAGTGAGTTAACAAATATTTCTATGAGGCCAGAGCCATCTGCACACTGCATTTCAGAATAGACCAAACTCTCTTTATACTATTTGTGATCCCCGATCTGTAACAGTCACGACAAGTTTGTGAAATATGGATGCAAATCAAACTTAGTGTATTATTACTGCAAATTGCAAATTCTATAAACCCATTCCCTATAATTTTATCTTACTACTACAGTAAGGTTTTTAACAAAAAAATGAATATTTTGTCCGTTGCTCACCCCATGACTTTTGAGATTTTGAAGGACTGTACTGGTCGCTCTTTTCCATAAATTTATTTAACCAAAAAAAAAAAAAAGGACTAAGGCATTCAAGCTTCAAAATAAAAACACAAAGGTGGTCTAGTGATACCCACTTAATTAAAAAGGCACATTAGTTGAAAAATATAGTTTTTTAACATTCTGATTTGAGCTAAAGATGTAAAATTAATGATACTATGTTTGTACTAATGACAGTGTACTTGCTCATGGGTGAGTTTTTGTATATTGTCGAACTGCTGCAGTTTTTAAATTCCTACAAAGAGTGCAAATGACTTCTCTTTTCTCAAACGTTCCACCTGGATTTCATTTATAAATAAATTTGCATTCTCTTTTATACTTGTGAAAGATACACAAGCTCAAGTGTCTTGTTGAAGAAAAAGAAAGCTTCTTGGTGTTTCATGGTGCTTTTATTTAACACTAATTTAATGAGAATAGCATTGATGCTAATGAGTTTAAAAGAATAACCTGTCAATAAACGGGTACTTGAGCCTTACTGATACCATGAGTTCTGGACCAACAAAAACCACTACCTGAAGCAGTCAATATAGTGTATATACAACTTTCTCATTAAAGTTTAATTAAAGCTTAAAGCTTTGACTTTTAGTGCCACAGCAGACGGTTTTAAGATGTTTAGTAAATTCATCTCTGTGATTCAATGGGCACATTGAAGGTCAATGCACCGTTTATTGGAAGTTATTGCACAAAATCTTTTCCAGGCCTTTGTATACATTTTATGTGGCCTTATTTCTCCACACATTGCTGATTATAGAACTTACATGAAATTAACTTAAATTTTTCCATGTTCATGCTATGTGAGAAACTATTTATGATGACTTCGCAAAAATATACTGTATTATGTTTATGATCATCTTAGCATCCACAGAGAAAAGCAAAATATGTCTATAGTTTATTTTTGTTGAATTATTTTAACTAGGAAAAAAGCTTGAGTCTTGTTTGTACAACTACACATAAGCAATCAAGAGAGTTTTACTGTCTCTGAAACTTATAATTACTGGATAAATACAGGTCAACAAGAAGATGTTTTAGCTTTATGTCAACCTTAGTCGTCATGAGTCATGATAACATGAGAGAGCAAAATCACTTTTTGTGTATTTATTTGCACAACCAGTTATGTTATTTCCTTTGTACTCTCACATAGTAGAGCAAAGCTTTCACGTTAGAAATCATATTCTGAGCATATTCTAGGATGTAGAAAGGATATTACAAACATCTATGACATAAGCCAGAATTTCTACAAACCAATACAATCACAGATGGGCAGAGAGCAGAGATAACACACTGCTGATAATAGAACCATTTCAAACCATTTCGTCATGTTCACAATGGTTTTTTATCTAGTATTTCTTAAAAGTGACCTCCCCATTTCAGCCTCCATAACAAAATTTCAACCTGTTGGCCTGAGATACCAATCAGAGCTTTGTTCCTTTGCTGTTATTTCAGACAGCCAAGTGGAGTAATCCCCAACGCTACTCAGAAAGGCCGTAATGACAGCAAAACCATCATTCTGTGAGTTCCTCAAAATCCTGGTTTTGTGATGAAATGACTTTGTGAAAGTACTTACAAGAAGCTTACATCAAGCAAAGCATCAGTGAAGCGCTAAAGACAACCCCTTTGTCTCTATAAAGGATTACACAAGCCAGTGATCTCAGCCCAGAATATTCCTGAGATGCCTAAAGAGGCTCTAGGAAACACGGCTGCTTTCCTGAGTCTCTATTAGGGAGCAGCAATGTTCACATTACACCCACTATGGATGCTTGAAGCCTGCTGTTGCTGTCTGAAAACTGTGCTCAAAACGCCTATAGCCTAGATCAGTGTTGCTTATACCACTGGTGGTAGAATAATACAAAATATATCCATTTTAGTTATTTTATTTCTCCCATATTTTATTTCTAATGTCAGATTTTAAAATTGCTTTGTGCAATTGTGGGATATGAACAGGTAAAGTGTTGATCATGGCCACATTTATATATTTTATTTTAGAATATTGTTGCAATATTGATATTAATTAAAATATATAAATGAAATGATCTAAAATCTATTGATATTAATTAAAATATACAAAAAAATAAAATGAAGAAATCGATAAATACACACAAATTTTGCTTCTTCTATGGAACAATTCAAAACAGCTATATTGGATTGTCAGTAGAATTCAATGTATACAAGGGATGCTATTACGGATTATGGTCTGGTATTTTGGCCAGAAGTAATGGTTTAAAGTTATTTTATCTTATTTAATCTTATTTGTTTAGTTATTTAATCCATATTATTTATGGATTTGTTTCTTACGAACACGCCACTTTTCTCTTTTCAGGACATTAAAAGATGGACTGGAGTGGTGTGGATTACTTGTGGATTATTGTGATGTTTTTATCAGATGTTTGGACTTTCATTCTGATGGCACCCATTCACTGCAGAGGATCCCCTGGTGAGCAAGCTAAACTTAATAGTAAACAACTTCAAATCCATTCTGATGAAGAAACAAACTCATCTAAATCTTGTATGGCCTGAGGGTTACTAAATTTCCAGCAAATATTCATTTTGGGGTTACTCTATTCCTTTTAAGGCAAAGAGATCTTTAAATTTCAATACATATATACCACTATACATCCACAGTCCACACCTCTGTGGGATTACTTCATCAAGCATCACATTGTCCATCAGCGAGATAAGTCAAATTAGATTGAGAATTTATGTGATTAACAGCAACAGAGGAATGCAAGTCCCTATTCTCATTATTTACAAGAGTGTTGAGAGGGTTTATTTGGATTCCCAATGCAAAGCAGATGAATACAGCTGAAGGACAAGGACACTGTGTTTGTGCTCGCTATAGAGCACAGATGTCATTTCTCAGCTGTTGGACACTTAAGAGCATGTTTGATTCTTTAGGCTGTATTAAATAATTTGCACACCGGCTTGATCAATACGAGAAATGAAGAAATAACTGCAGCTAATTACAGTCCTCTTATTCCTTTCATTTGCACAATAGCTTTACTCAAGGTAAATGCATTGCAGCATAGCACAAACATGAAAGCAGAATACTAAATAACAACTTCACAGTGAAAGTCAATACAGCACAGAAATTCTTTAGCAGCTTTAATGTATGCAAGGCTTGTCATAATGCAGTCCAAGGCATTAACAAGCCTTTTAGTCATACTTACGAGCGTATTTTATGGATTCTGTGGGGAAGTGTTCACAGAACAAGACATATGCATTTTTGCTAAGCTTTTAAGCAAGTGTTGAACTTCATGATCAATTTTGAATGAGAGCTTTTGGAAACTGCATGTGTATTTAAAAGTTCAACGCAGTGAAGTGTTGGCATAGAAAGTCTCTCTCATTTGCCTCTGGTTGCATATATTCAGTTTTTTAAGGCGAGTAGGTGTGCGGCTGAGGATGCTTAACCTGTTTTAGGAGAAACTTTCTGTCCCTCCGGTCTTATTCAACCCAGAAAGAAATTCTATTTCTCTTTTTGCAGAGCTTATTCTGAATACATATAAAACAAGACAACAGCTTTAGAGAGTGAGAACCAAATTTCATTTGAGAGAGAGGTGTGGAGAGAGATCTGCTTAAATTGACTGGCCTTGGTGATGTAAGATCTTCCTCAACAAACACTGACATACAACCAAAAACTCCAGACATTATACAAGTGCAGGCATAAACACACATCACTGTTTAATTTCATGTTTCATGTAGACAAACAAACATATATTGGCAATACCATACCATAGAATGGGAAATAGAATAATATTAATCTCTAGTCACCACTGATACAGTCTGTATTTGCATTTAAATGGAAACAACAATAAAAAAACACACCAGATAGGTGTATTTATTTATTTATTTTTATATATTTAATTTATTCCTGTGATGCAAAGCTGAATTTTCAGCAGTCATTACTCTAGTCTTCAGTGTCACATGACCTTTCAGAACTCTGATTTCAGATTCTGATATGCTGATTTTCTGCTCAAGAAACATTTCTTATTATCAATGTTGAAAACAGTTGTGTTGCGTAATATTTTTGTGGAAAATGGTACAGCTTTTAAGGATTTTTTAAATAAATATAACATTCAAAAGAACAGCAGCTGGAATGGAAACCTTTTGTAACATTATAAATGTATTTACTGTCACTTTTGATCAATTTAATGTGTCCTTGCTGAATAACAGTATTAATTTCTTTCTTTTCTCACTTTTGAACAGCAGTTTAAACACAGAGTAACGTAATTAAAATTGCAGAGATTCCAAAGTTATTACAGCAAACATCACACACATCATGAAATTGAATAGAAATTCTTCTTATGTTTCGACAGCATATACTCACGATTCTGTTCTACATACTATATTAATATATAAATAAATGTACAATTTAAGCCTTACAGGGTAGACATTACTGATGTTACTGATTACTGTGATATCTTAATTCGGGAATGAGCAATGAAGAGTTTATGCATGAAAAGGATTTATTTAAAGATTTGGGAAAAGGAGAAAAATATTATGCATATAACCTCTGGGTTACTGTTACACGTAACATTATATTGTAGATTTGGATAATTTCCACAAGATGCCATTATAAAATAAGTAACACTTTCACAAACACTTTCAAAGGTTAACCCTAACCTTTCCTTTAGGAAAGATCAAAACGTTGTCTGATAATAGCGTGGATGGCCACAGTTGCTAAGGTAGACCTGGCCAGTAACACTGTCGGGCGGGAACAAAATGCATGCCTAAACAAAGAGGCAAAAATGAGAGAGATAAAACAAATCCAAAAAATAATAGGAAGAGAGAAAAGAAACAAACAAACAGACAAAATTCTCTGTGATCATCTCAAAGTTTTACAGTCAAGATTATAATGAAGTCCCCACGCGCCGTGTTGCTGCACTGCTGTGGGGACAGATTGTGTCTCGATCCTGTAGCATCTTTTCTGTTCAAAAAGATGCATCATTGTTTGTAAGCAAAACACAATTCCTCTCTGTGGCAATACTTTATGCTGTCTGTTCTTCTATCCCTTGTGCACTTTGCAACCCTAGACCTCAGATTTTCTGCATTGCCTCCAGTCTTCATGCTAGTAGTAATCTATGCGCAGTTGTAGCCATGTATGCTCCGTAGCCTTTGTAAATTCAAGAGCCTTCACCCGAACCCTGGCTAAGCTTAGCTATTCACTGCTGCGATGTGGATAAAACCCTCCTCCGAGCTTCTCTCAGCAGCCTGTGGGCTGCATAATGAGTAAAATACAGTGACTGATTGCTGTTGGGATGCCAGCGGCTATTTGGCTAACCATGAGGCTTTTTCCAGTGCGAAAACAACGTGAAGACGTTAACATCATCCACACATTGAATTTGTGTAATTTAGTGCAAACTGCTTTCTTACATCTACACTCAATTTTGTCATTTCAGGTTGTTACCATATCATAAATCGTTCTCCGATCATCTAGAGATGTGCAACAACAGATAAAATATGCAGAGTAAGTTGCATCCATTTGCTCAGTTACTTGCTGATGATGGTAACAAATGCCACCTTTGAGTCACTAAATCTGGTATAAACACAGCAGCCTGTGCCCTATCATTCATCCTCAATAGCCTTTTACCATGAAGCGTAATGATGAGCTAGGCAGAAGATGCAGAGGGGATGTTGGGAGCAGTCTTAGGCTTGAGTGTGAAGCGTGTATGACCTGATTGATTGTGCTGTTATTGTTAAGGACTCTGTTCCGTCTGCCTGCGGGATTCACTCTCGCCATTCATCCACTCGTCTCTTTGCTCTGGCTCTCATAAATTTCACAGGCAGAGCCGAGCTCTGCTGGGAGCTTAAACAATTGCCTTATTGATGGATGCCCACGTATGAGTGGAGAGAGAATCTTTACAGGAGCAGCTCCTTAAGGCCTTGTGGATTTTCTAGTTTGTTGGCTACATCCCCTCGATATGTTTATATGATTTATATGAGATGATATATATATAGCATCTACGTACATATATATATATAAGTGTATTTATGTATTATGCATTTTCAGTATGAATATGTGAAGCTAATATGGCTGTAATTCCTCTTATTATGGATTCTTAGAAGTGCTATTAAGGAACAGAGAAGATTATGTGGGTTATTCCTGTTATGCAGCACATGAACTTTTCAAAAATGTATGCTTGTAATATTTCTATAAAAGGGTATCTTAGACTTTCAAAAATGTTTAATCCATGCATCTTCATGAATTTAATCTTAATTATTTACAAAAATGACAGAAAACAAAATGACAAAAATAAAAACAGAGTTAAAGTTCGTGTCAACTTTGTCAATTGTATTATTTTATTTTTATTTGTCAATTTTTTTAACCATCTTGTGAAATCAGATTTTATCCAAAAATTCTGTAATGTTTTCAAAAGGTACACGAACAACTCAAAACTCATAATATCACAGAAAAATTGCTAATACTATAATATATATATATTATATATATATATATTTGGTTTTTGTAGCTTCTTTTCTACAACTTTTTTTTTTTTTTTTTTTAAATATATAAATAATATATATAAAAGACTAACAGGATAGAAAGCAAAACTGCAATAAATTGATTAGCAAATAAAACAATATTAACAAAACATGTTTTGTTTTAAACATTTTAATTAGAGCAGAAAATAGCCCAGCAATTTATTAATGAATTGCTAGTTTTAATTTCAAATGTTAGCCTATAAACAATCAATTGTGATCGTGTGTGTAAAAAAAAAAAAAAAAAAAAATTTATTAAACCAAAAATGTGATTTTAACATTATGTCCCATATATTAAAATGACAGTGTACCGCATAATAGAAATGACCCATGTGCATAAGTGAAACGGTTGACTGAAATAAATGCACTGATTTTCAGTATGTGAGGGTGTTTGTATGTGTGTCTTTAATTGCCTCACAATAATGAAGCAATATAAAGCCTAAATGCTCTTCTTCTGAACGCCTCACCTCAGCAATGCCCAGCTTGTTTTGTTCCTTTTTTCAAGAACAAATACTGCTATAACATGTTTAATTCTTGCATGCATCAGCTTGAGGCACACAGTGAGTCAGTGGGGGAGCTGGCGAAATGGAGTGCTGAAATATTTATCAAGGCGTTGCATATTCAGCCTGAGGTCTTTTGTGAGTGCTCTTGTGATCTTCTGCAACACGTTTGCAAATTAAATATTGATGCCGTTTAAATAAATAGGCGAATGGCACACCCTGGCTTGAAAGGATGCCACGCTGAATAAGTGAAGATATCAGTGGTGGCTGGGGTGCCCCTTTCTCATGAGACAAAGGAGTGATAAAGGGAGATGCGCTACTGTATACTGTCTTCTTGGCCCGCTTCACACTGAGCAAAAGCATTGGTTCAGAGACAATGTTTGCAAGTGATTTAAACAAGTAAGGTCATAACAAAAGAAAAAAATAGATCAATGGACCTAAACTGTGTGGTCACATTTACTGTTGCTCCACGAACAGTAAGTTCTAACACTTACGAGTTCCAGTCATTCCAATAGGATTCCACAGGATTAGAGTTTTGCCTGAGGGAGGAAAAACTCGCCCTTGACCAAAATGTATAACAGAGATTTCTCAAAATATTAATCCTGCTGTTAGTGTTTTCTTTTCTGCACCCTTAGAGGCAGCCAAACAGAATTGGAAAATTAAAGGAATAGTTCACCCAAAAATTAATATTTGCTGAAAATGTACCCACTCTCAGGCCATCCCAAATGTAGAGTTTGCTTCTTCATCGGAACGTATTTGAAGAAATTTAGCATTACAGTGCATCACTTGCCAATGGATCCTCTGCAGAGAATGGGTGCCATCATAATGAGAGTTCAAACAGCTGAAAAGAAAAACATCACAATAATCCACAAGTAATCCACATGATTCCAGCCCATCAGTTAACGTCTTGTGAACTGAAAAGTTGCACGTTTGAAATAAACAAATTCATAATTAAGATGTTTTTAACTTCAAACTGTTGCATCTGGGTAAAATACGAATCTTCTAAACATAATATTGCTTCCTCCAGTGTAAAAAAAAAGCCTTGTCTGAATCAGGAGAGAAATATGCACAGACCAAGCATCATTTACAAGCAAAACCAGTTCTAAACAAATATGTCAGTGGATTTCTTTTGATGTGAGAGAAAACAGGGGATGTACATTTTCACTGGTGGAAGCGTTATTATAGATTACAGACCGGTATTTTGTCCAGAAGCGATGCTTTAAAGTGAAAATGTTTGTTACACATACACAGCTTTTCACTTCACTAGACTGTTAGGTAATTGTTAATTGAACGACTGAAGTATCATGCTATGCAACACAATGTTTCTATATTTAATACAGTTTGTGGTCAGGCAAATGTAAAAATGTATGAGCAAAATAAAGACTTTTGCAAAGCACATTTCACAAACAAAATCCATGTTTTCCAAACTCATACCACTGGCAGAAAGCTGCCTCCAGGTTTTCTGAATTTCTGTTTTCTGCGTAGTCTATAATCAGATCTGATGCATATTACAGATGTATACTGGTGATCTGATATATGTAATTGACCATTTTAAATAACAAAAAAGGAATAAATAAATAAATAACCTGCCATATGTCTAGAAATCTACAATAAAACCAATTGTAATTCACTTAGAGAATGCAATGATGCCCAAGAGTGATCAATGTGGATGAGTAACAAATCCAAATGTTCGTTCAATAAAAACACTAATTAGAACTGCCATCAGAAAGATTGAGAAAGAAAGAAAAGGATATGAGAAATAAAACACTGTAGCCTGTTTTTTTCTGTTTTGGAGAGCAGCCAAACATCTAACACATGCATACATACATTCATGCATAAATTTGGTGCTTCCATATTGCATATCCTTTTCAAAGGCATAAACAAAAGACATGCCACACTATAATCGCATATGTATTGGTTCAGACAATGATCTGTAGAATCACACACCACCTGGGCCTCACACTTCCTCTAACCTACATTGAGAAAGAAAACATCAAAAGCTCACTCACTTCCTGTTCTTCCAGCATAGAACAGCTCCATGGGAATACAGCATCATTTATAACACTTCACATTACAAACAGAGCAGGATAAGGAGATGGATTCAAAGAGCTAGTTTGCATTAAGGTCTTGCCTTTCTGGCTTCTATGTGCATATGATTTGTTGTTGAGCATACAAATATAGTGATCTTTTAGCTGTCAGATGCAGGCTAGCAGGGGTCTCCTGGGATATGATCCAGTTTTAAAGATCCCCTTAGGAAATTCAGAATCCCTAGTGGTGATACACATGCTATTAATAAGTATGTGTCAAAAGGCAGCTATGTAAAATACTGTACACTTCTATTTGACAGTAACTTTGTAACAATCCAGAAAAAAAGACACTGGAAAGGGCAGGATGTTAATTTGCACAGTGTTTTGACAATATTTGACAAATGAGTAGGCTAGTCCTCAGTTATTAAATGAATAGGCCTACCACTCTTTGATAATCAGTTTAGTGAGGATTTAGTCAACCAGTCAGGATCTCGGAGTAACTGGGCTACTCACAAAGTAAATAAATAAAAGTAAATAACAAGCCTACTCATATGGAATATTAGCTTGAATTTATTCTGACAATATATCTGACCTTTGAATTAGAATCAGTTTTCCAGAGAGCCATGTCCCAATATTCTAATACACTGATATACAAACTTGATATACAAATTATATTTTGCTTCTGTTTTGGATAGATGCATATAAATAGTCTTATCTGCAACAGAGTTGTTCACAAGCTACACTTCCCATAAAATGCTGCTTCATTGCTGACAAATGATTTTGTTTCCTACTGACTGCAGGTAAATATCAAACGATTCGGTGCGTGAGTGAAGTGTCCAAATGAATCAAACTGAATCGCAAACAATTTCTGTTTGATGATTTCGAGCAACATTCATGTACGAACGTGGCATCGCTGCTGGTTCTGATTTTAAACAGTTGATAGAAAACAGAGGATATATTGCTGAAAATGATTTTCAGGTCAGTACGGCAATCTCCATCATCAGACAAGGACTTATTATCAGTAATATTTTGCCGGAGCACAGTGGTATTTCACTAAAATGTACCACTGAATTATTTGAGTAAAAGGGTCTAGCGACACCCTTGGTTCAGAGATTGTTTTATCCCAAAATGAAGTGGGAGGCAATGGATTGAAAAGCTGGCACTGGGTTTTTGAGTGAATGTTGCAAACATGCTCAGTCAAGAAGAAAATTCTTCTATCTGCTAAAAGAAGCAAACAGACACTAAACAAACCCAGACTGTGCAGAGATAAGATTGATATTGACAGCTGCAACACGCAAACAGGCACAATAGAGATTTCATATCTAAAGGACTCAACAGACATTTTATGTGGTTTTACTTATTGAGAGGCTGAGCCCATTTATTTTTTCCCCAGAGGACCAGTCTGCCCCAAATATGAATGTTCTGTCATCATTTATTCGCCACCATGTTTCAAACCTGTATGACTTTCTTTCTTCTATGTGTGTCACAACATATTCATTCTTTAGAAGACTTTGGAATACAGTGTACAAGTCATATGGATCACTTTTAAAATAGTGTATCGTTTCCTGGTTCGAGTCTGCAGAGGTGAATGCACTTGGGAGGAGAACAAATTATTTGTTTCCTTTATGTGATTAATGAATGAAAAAAAAAAAAAAACTCATACCAGAACATGCAGTAATGGCCTGTTCACAACAAAGACTATAACTATAATGGTAACAATAAACATATACAGTAGTTTTAAAAGTTGTTCTACATTTAAAAAATAGCAGATGCCACACCACAACTATAACGGCACAGAGGAACAATATCGTTGGAATCACTTTCACAAGTTTTTTTTCAAGCCTATGAAAGATAAAAACACTGATAGCCAATCAGAATCCATCCAGTTCATTAAAGCGGCAGATGACAATGGCAGCGCGTACATATAATAGAACGTTATTTAAGTTTGTGTGGATGCTAATGTAGTTACTGCTATAGTTATAGTTATTGTTCTTGCTGTTAACTGGCCTTAAAACTTTTTATGATCTATTTTTCACTGAGATTGTTATTGATGTTGCGCATTTGTAGCTACAATTAAGGCTACAAATAAACAAATCACTCTCTGAAACAGTTATTCAAAATAAAAGAATCATTCATCAATAATTAATCAGTAAAAGATTGAAAGATTCAGCTATCATTCATCGTAACTGCATGGAAAATATTAAGTAGCACAATCTTCAGAATTTCTCTTTTTGTCTTCAAACGTAATAAAGCAGGTCTAAGTCAAGCAGGTTTGAGCAACATAGAGATAAAATTATTATTATTTTTTTTTTATAAAACATTTAATATTAGACGACTGTCTACTCAGCAAGACTTTATTGAGGTAGAGTGTAAGACATTTAAAGAGAGTCCGGAGCACTGCATCGTGTTCAGAATAAAGTGGAGTCCTGACCACAGCCGTGCTTTCATTTACAACCTCAAATCATCACTCTGAAAAACCATGTTGCCAAAAAGCCTTAGCGGGAGAGACTTTGGAGGGCACCTATTTGGGAGCAATGTCTGTCATGGGTCAGAGCTGAGCGGTACAGATATCCCTCTCTTTTTAATTAATACCAGTGGGCTGTCACAGCCTCCAAATGAGAAGTCATGAAAGATGAGTGTGCAGTCGACCATGCAGCCATCTGAAAAAAGGCATGTGTGTTTGTATTGATGCCTCGTTCCCTGTGTTTCTCTGCTCTTGCTTCGGTGTTCTCTGTTATGGATCAAACAATTTAGTCAATCGGGCTGTTTGGTGAGCTGGACACACTGAGAAATGTCCCACCAGTCATGAGTTATGACATGCGTATAAGACAAGCAACATGAGTCAATATCGCACAATATCTAAACATTGACCGCCATGCCACTTTTTCATCATACCTGTGTCATAAAAGATCAATGCATAACAATAACATACAGAGGATTAACAGTGGAATTCAAAATTAAACCCCAACTGTAATGTTGTTTGACATTGTGGTTGTTATATTGCCTAATTGTTGAATAAATAAAATCATGAATTATCATTGAATAATACACATACATGTTGATTTTATTATTTATTATTATTTATTTTTAAAAAAAAGGTGCACCATGCCAGAAGTTTTATTTTTTATTTTTATGACCAGCAGGATGTAATTTGATGAAGAAACACATTTAAATGGTTTATTCAAAGTAATCTGTTCATTATACACCACTTTATTGCCATTTTATGAGCATCCTGGGTCTGCAAAGTGAAGAAAATGAGTTTGCTACCCTGAGGGAACATCATGCAGTGGAGGGTTCAAACTGAAGGCTGATATGAACAGCAAGTTGTGCTTAACTTATGTAGTTTGATGGAGGCATGAATAGGTACACAGCTCTTTGGAAATTACTTTCATTTACTTCCTTGGCCAGGCAGCCAATGTCTGACAAACTAATGATTACATTTTTTTTGGTACTTTCAGTATATTTCATCAAATTTAGCCTGAAAGATTTTATTTTTTTTGATCTAAGATTAATTGAATTGAAACCATTGAAACCATTTATGAAATGGTTGATACTGTATGACATTTTAAGGCTTACCATTTTTGTAAATGCTACTTTTTTGGAATTTTGCTAAAAGTTAAAACTAACCAAATAAATAAATATATAGGTCAAGCACAGTTTAATTAAATGTTTCCCACAACAGTTTGATCGTGATGGATGATTATGACATTAATGATTGATGACTAGTCACTAAAAGTTTCCCCAACTGTTTGGTTATGATTAATGATGAGCCATGATTGACAGGTCGTTCAGGAGTTTCATAATTAAATATATTTTGAAAGCCAGAAATAATGATTTTCTTGGAAATCAGGGCATTGCAAACAAATTAGGAGAGAGAAATGTATGGGTTCATAAATAAATAAAGCGAAACTTAAAATAAATGGTGCAATTACTCCTCTTCTAATGAGATTCGCTTTGATTTGGGACTTCATTCACCTCATTTAAACTCAACCCATTCAGAATACAATTTTAAAATCAACATCAACTGCATTTGGAAACAATGTTTTCCAAAAATATTCATTTAGATTAAGCTGTAGATGCCAATTGGAAACATAATTTGGAAGAAAACACATCACAACAGATACTGGAACAGCTCATCTGTGTCTCAAGAGTGCCCAAGTAAGACACTGTGCGTTGTCTAGAGAATACAATGAAAGACACATCATGCTGAATAAGCAGTGAGGTGCCCTTGATTTACTCAAAGCCTATAGGGGAACCAGATGGATCTGTGTCACCTGCCCAGCTTTGAAGTTCACAAGCCCCAGCAGGATATCCACCAAATGAGGGATCCAATTCTGTTTGATGCCATTTTTCCCTCTGTATTGGAAGATAAAATAACGTGAGAAGATTTGTCTTTATTGCACATAGTCAGTGTCTCATCCTCAAGTCTGGATAATGAAATCTGAGGTTAGGGCTGCATTTCATAACAATGTTTGCTTGGATGTTTGGGTCGCTGGCTCAGCTTGGAGGCAACAACCTGAAGTTACTTGCCTATTAAAGACATTCAATATTTATGTAAGCCACCACAAATTGTGCAAGTATTAAATATATCTTTCATCCTTGTTTATATATTAACAAACCTTCAAATAATATCCTTTATACTCACCCTCAAGTCATTCTAAACTCGTATGTTTGTTTATTTTTTTCCATAAGATGAATTATTGAGTTTTCACACAGCTATATTCTATACAACAACAGTTTCTACACCAATTTTTTCAGTGTATGATTTTCTTTGAAACAATTTTCACTTTTCAAAAAGACAAAGAAATGGCACTTAACACATTGAATTAACCCTGACATTTTGAAGAAAGACTGAAATAGCATTTTCGTGTAAAACATACTCCGATAAAAAGGCACCCTAGAAGTATTCCATACGACCATAGAAGACATTCCAAGTCTTCTCAATCTACTTGATAACTTTGCAAAGAAAAGTTTATATTTAATGATAGTAGCCCTCTTTTAAATTTTGATTGTAGATCATTCTTATGTGTTTCGTGGAAAATTGTATGCGAGATGTATGCGGTGGGTAAGTAAAAACAGAATTTTCATTTTTGGTGAATTATTCCTTTGATGTTTACAGCTGTAAAATATCAGTTTATGCTCACCCCAGCTAAATCTTCACTATGAGAGTCCAGTGCACATAATTAAATGTAAAAAAAAAAAAAAACGCTATTCTTTACCAGACATTTCTCAAAGACCTTTTGCTCCATCTCTCATCAATTTCTCATCTATCTTATACTGATTCTTAGAAACTGCACTGGGCTTTGACACAGGGTCAAAGAAAAATCTCCAACCCTGAGCCACAATAGAATCCAGTCTTCAAATACCACAGGTTTTATTGATTGACATTGTTAAGTGTTTGGTTCACTCTGCAAAATGATATGGATGTATTCTTGATTATCCTTTAAGTATTTCTATTGCAAAGACTAAAGGATCATTGCTTGGTTTAATTATAACAGTAAATAGAGTTTAATTTGGTGATGTAAAATAACAGCTTAAACAAGCTGCAGTGTTTTAGTACCTCAGTCCGGACAAGACCAGATTTTGACTCAGGTCCGAGACTAAGACCATATCTTCAGGAGCATTTGGACCTGGCCTGTACTTGGACTTAACTGAACTGGTCCGAAATCATAGAAAATATGGTCTTGAAATCTGACTCGAGATGGACTTGAGTCAGAGTCCAGTTTAGTCAACACTTCAGTCTGGTTTAAGTTTATTTAGCTGGTCTCCTAGCTTTACAAGGTGGCCCCAAACCCTCCAAAACCATCAAACCAGTCTGGACAGCAGAACTCAGCCAGCTAAAACCAGCAAGCCACCTTAGGCAGGATTTGTATTATTTATTTTTTTTCCAGCAGTGTATAGCATTGGAGGACAAAGGTTGTGCCAAGTTCACAAGAGGAACAGTAACTGTGTTATGGTGGCATTCAGCAGTAGGGTGTGCTGTTTTGTAGCTGAATTCCAAATGACCTGGAATGGTAGGGTTATCTGAGATTCACTGGTTTCCTAGTCAGTTTAAATTACGGAAGACTGGGGCTAATTGTCACACATGGACGTTCACAAGGGCTATATGTCAGTACCTATAAGGTTTTGAGAAAAAAGTCTAATTACGTAAATGCATATTTTCTCTAGCTGTATCTTTATGAATGTTTATTTTAAATACCTTGTTCAACATCATCACAGCACATTAGAATTAGAGAATTCTGTCTTCCAAACTAAAAATTCCAATTATCATCATATTTTAATTGCTGTTGCATAATCAAACGAACACAAAATAGCAACTTACGGTAGGTTTTCATTTATTGAGGCAAGTTGTCATGTTGTTTACAACGTTATTTTTAATGCCAAAATATTGCTTATATATACGTATTTTTGCTGTTTCACCAACTGCTTCGTTATAGTGTGACAACGTGTCCAATTGGGTTGATTGATGTGTGTTCAATGAACTGTATCTTTTATTGGTGGACATGTTTAATTGCTTTTTTGTATCAGAGACTTTAAAGCTTGTGACTTTAATTGACTTTCAAAAATAAATCTGCCCTGAGAAATATTCACAGGGTAAAACGTGTGACAACTAGCACTCATCTCCCCTAAGTCGAGCTTTGAACAAGCTGCAAGTGCTACAAGGGAATGATTTTGTGGAGCAAATGAATCTTCTTACATATTAGGTAATGTTTATCCTGAGCTGCCCTTGGCATATCTCAGCATTGCACATATAGGCCTATAGTATGAGCTTTATTCAAATGCACGGGGAATTAAAGCAGAGCCATTACATGCTATTACATTTCTAATATTGCAAGACTGCAGGGTCCAGTTTATGACCGATATCCTATTTCTAACGCACAAACCAGAAAATAGCAAACGGCACTGCATGCAGGAGAGGGTGCCTACCAAGTAGACAAGTGGTGCAAATCACTATCACATAAAAATCTTCCCTTAGAGGCACTTTGCTCATTGAATTTGGGGCGTGCTTGCAAAGACACTCTCAGCTGGAGGTGCATCAGCGTGTAAGGTACCACAACTGCGCATTTCATCCGCTGAGCGCCTGCTGGAGGAGGAGATACGCATCATATATATCTAACCAACAGTCTTTCTGGATCACTCTGCTGGTAGGAACCGATCACGGGGCACGTGCGTGCAGTGGATACGCCGGAGCGCTGTGAGTCGTGGACTAATTGCGGGGCGCTTGCGGGAATACGAGGAGCATCTCTGCACGAGAGGGAATAAATCTCGTTTTCCTGTCCGTCTCCACACAGACTTCGATTTAGAGGGCATTTATTTGGTGCTAAAAGTGAGAGAACGATATCAGGAAAGATGTTACCGACGACATTAGGGGGTTAGAGGTGCTGAGGTTCATCCCATCACTGAATATGGAGTAAATTCCCACGTCTTCTCTTATTTTGACTCGGAATACAGTGAACGGGAGCGCGTCACGGTGAGTTATTCATTATCCATGCGCTATTAGATTATTTAAAGTTAAGCAGTAAGCGCAAGTTTTATTCGAGATGCCAAATAATGTAATGTTTATACATTATGGATATCGTTATAAATATGCCTTATGTTAAATATGAAAAGCAAGCGCTGCTTTTACACTTGAAATCCTGACCACAACCCCAATTATAATTCAACGTATTGATAGGGATGGGAATTTAATAATTACTTCAAACCCGGTTCCACTTGCGATCTTTTAGTACTTTTAAGAAAGGAATAGCCTATATGGGGGAGAAAAGAAATGTCATTCTTAAAGCATT